CCATCTTCTCACTTTTAATTAAATTACTGTAATTTCTTTGGTACTAATAGTCTTTATTGTGGAAATATCTTTTCCTCTATTTAGTCATTCACTGCGTCCCTTTAATTTCTGGATACATGTATTTGTGGAAGATGAGTAAACCTCTAACGGTAAACATACTAGTTAAGAACTCAGTCTCTAAATTAGACTGATCAAGTTCAGGTAACAGCTCTGCAGCTTACTAGTTGTGTAACTGTCTTAGCTCAGACTGCTGTAACAGAAGACCACACACTGGGTGGCCTAAACAACAGACATTTATTTCTCACAGTTCTGGAGGCTGGGAAGTCCAAGATCAAGGTGCCAGCAGATTTGATTCCTGGAGAGAACTGTCTTCCTGCCTTGCAGACGGGTGCCATCTCATTGAGTACTCACGTGACAGAGAATAAGGATACTAATACTATCATCAGGGCCTCACCTTTATGATTTCATCTAAACCTAATTGTCTCCCAAAGGCCCCACCTCTAAATACCCCTGGGTATCAGAACTTCCACATATGAATTCCATTCAGTCTATACCAGTAAACTCGGTCAAACTACTTAATCACACTGAACCTCAGTGTCTTCATTTGTAAAATAGGGATAATTATAGTTCCTAAGCTATAGAGTTCTGGAGACATTTAAATGAACCTTAAATTGGAATAGTGCCTAGTACATGGTTAAGAGCTCAATAACTCTTATGTTTTACTTTTTTTTACTTTTAGCTTTTTTACATTTAACACTTAAAAGGAGTTTAGATTCTACAATCTGGACTATAAAGAACTCTGTTTTCGGGGATAAGGAAAATAGTGCTACCTTGATACAAAGATGTACTCTGCCTCTTAATTCTGGTCCTTGACACTTTAATCCATCTGCACTTCACAGAGAACAATAATCAAGTAGGTTGATTTACAATGTGCCAGTTTATTTACGCCATTAGGCATTTGTTCTGCTTTGTATACCTCTAGGTCTGGAATCCCCAAAGAGTTTAGGGAGTCCAGAATTAGCTTTCTGGTTTCAGGTAGTCTAGAATGGTCTTTGAGAGAACACAATGTATATCATGAAGAAACCTGAGAGCCAGAGCCTAGTATTCTTATTGTCTGAAGAGTCCCAGGACCAAAAAGCCCATTTTTAAGAAGATTCCCCAGAACAAACAAAATCCAAATAATTGGTAAACACCTTCAGTCCGGTCAAGGTAATCCACCTGGGGAAGCATGTCAGGATTGTGATTGCAGCTAAAAGTTAACACCAAGTAATTATGTTATTTTGCTAAAACAAGAAAGTAAGAAAGGAAAATTTATGGAATATATAAATGGAAGTCAGAAAGGTCAAATTGGCAGAGTGTATGAGTTTCCTATTGCTGCCATAACAAATTACTATAAATAGTGGCTTAAAACAACACAATTTTTTAATCTTATAATCCTAGAGCTCAGAAGTCCTAAATGGGTGGGTCTCACTGAGCTGAAATTAAGGCGTCAGCAGGGCTGTGTTCCTTTCTAAAAGCTCTGGAGGAGAATCTATTTTTCTTGCCTTTTCCAGCTTCTAGAGGCCGCCCACATTCCTTGGCTCATGGCCCCTTCCATTTTCAAAGCTAATAATGCCAATTAACTCTAACAAACCATCACTCTTACACTGACTCTTCTGCATCTTTTCCATACTTAAAGCTTGTGCTTATTACACTGGACCCACCTGAATAATCTAGAATAATCTATTTTAAATTCAAACAATTAGCAAACTTGATTCCATCTGCAATCTTAATTCCCTTTTGCCATTTAACCTAACATATTTACAGGTTCTGGGTATTAAGATTTGGACATCTTT